GGGGATCATTGAGGAATATAATGGGTCATCCTGTGAGGTAAAAATACGCGCGAAACCGAACAATGCACGGGGAATGGACGTCCGAACGATATCAAGTTTACGTGTGTGCCTATCGATTGCCCCTTTCTTGGGGCTCGACACCCGTATGTTTTCCGTATGCTTTACGCGTGTTAGTATCGTTTGCCCTTCCTGTGCGGCTCGAATCCTGTGTGTTTTACGTGTGGTCCTGTGCATTGCCCCTTTCCTGGGGTTCGAATCCGATGTGCTTTACGTCTGCTCAGTGGGCCTGTGTGAGCGTTCGATTCCCAGGTGGAGGTTGACGGCAGCCAGCGGCGGTGGGCGGCGGCCGTTGGCGACGGGGACGAGGCGGGCGATCTGCCGTGAGCGCTGCGGCGATGTGTTCGCCGGCTCCATTGCTCTTTTTGTGAAGATAGGTTCGGTGGTTCTCACTTGACCGGGAATGGAAAAGAACCCGTAACGGCCCGTAACCCTAAAATAACACAATGAAGGCGTAGCTTGACTTGGGTCCCCATCTTTGCATTCGGAGTCATCCATCTGTGCGGCTAGGTCTGATGCGTCTGCAGGAAAGAGGTGGAAGCCACAACGCCAGAAGTCGCCACAGAACCTTCGGAGACACTGTAATCCGAAGCCCGGAAGCGCTCTCGCCCGACCTCCGGGAACGGACGCCCGGTCCCCGGAATTTGTGCCGCGCCCACGCGGGTCCGCCCCGACTCGTCGCCCGACCCGCCCGCCCGTCAGGGGCCGCCCGCCCGACCCGACCCGTCTGTCAGGGCGCGCGCGTGCTGCCCCGACGATGCTTCATGTTGTAATGTTGCGCCCGATCGACTCGCTATCTTAATCTCTTGCATGCGCGATCCGCCGCCCGCCCGCCCGCGTGCCCGTCAGGGCCCAAGTTAGGACCCTGCCCGCGGCCCCACCCGCCGGCCTGTTAGGGATCGCCCGCCCGCCCCGTCCGGCTTGCAAGGGGCACGCGCGTGCGAAATCTATCATGCGTCATGCTTTACTGCCCCGCTCGCCCGAACCGCTGCCCGCTAGCCCGCCCGCCCGAACCGCCGCCCGCTCGCCAGCCCGCCCGTGAGGGCCCCACTCGGCGCTGGACCCGCCCGCGCGTCGGGGTCCAGCCGCCCGACCTGACCCGTCCGTCAAGGCACACCAATATCTTGTTGTCCCGCCCGATCGACCCGCTGCTTTCACGCGCCGCGCCGCCCGCGCGACCCGCCGCCCGACCCGCCCGCTCGCCCGCGTGCCCGTTCAGTGCCCGCCCGCCCCCCGACCCGCCGGACCGTTGGACCGTGAGGATCCGCCCACCCGCCCCGACCCCCTTGTTAGGGCACGCGCGTGTCTCGACCATCCGCCGCCCGCCCGCCAGCGCGTTCGTTCGGGTCCTGCCCGCCGCCCGACCCGCCTGCGTGTGCGGGTCCGCCCGCCCGCCCCGAGCTGCCTGTCAGGGCACGCGCGTGCCGCCTCGATCGTGCGTCGCACTTGAATGTCCCGCCCGCCCGACCTGCCGCCCGTTCGCCCGTGTGGATCCCGCTCGCCGCCCGACCCGCCCGCCCGTCAGGGTCCGTCCGCCCGGCCCGACCCGATCCGTCAGGTACGCGCGTCCTACCCCGAGTATGTCCGCCCGATCGACCCGCCACTTTCATGTGCCGCCCGCGCGACCCGCCGCCCGCCCGCCCGCTGGCCCGCCTGTTGGGGTCGGGCCCGTCGCCTGACCCGCCTGCCTGTTAGGGATCGCCCGCCCGCCCCGTCCCGCTTGCTTGTGGCGCGCGTGTGCTACCTCTATCGTGCGTCATGCTTCAGCGCCCCGCCCGAACCGCCGCCCGCCCGCCTGCCCGCCCGCCCGTCAGGGCCCCGCTCGCCGCCGGACCCGCCCGCCCGTCAGGGTCCGTCCGCCCGACCCGACCCGTCTGTCAGGGCACGCGCGTGCAATCCCGACTATGCGTTATATTTAGATGTCCCGCCCGATCGACTCGTTACTTTACTGCCCCGCCCGCGCGACCCGCCGCCCGCCCCCCCGCCTGCTCGTTAGGGGCCTGCCCGCCGCCCGACCTGCCTGCCTGTTAGGGTCCGCCCGCCCGCCGTGCCGGAGGAACCATCCGCGACGCCACCAGATGATCTGAAGACGCGCCAGGAGGCCTCCAAGGAGCGCCCCCCTTGTGGAAATCACAGATTCCCTTTTCCAATCGTGACAGCCTCTGAGACGACCGAAGAGGCGCCCCAGGAGGCTCCAAGACAATTTACGTGGCGCCAAACACGGACCGAGAGGGCCCCAAGACGGTCTAAGGGAGCCCCAAGAGGGCTTCAAGAGGTTTGCACCCCGGGGCGGAGGGCAGGGTGGGCTGGAGGCGGGCCTCGCGGGAGGCCCCAGGGTGCAAACTTCCTGCAGAATTGAAAGATATCGCGGTTCGCGCCGCATTTGGGGAGAGGCTTGCCCCCCCAGTCAGGGGAGCAGAGCCCGACGGGGCAAGGGCCTGCGGGAAGCTCTGGAGCGTAAACCTCCTGCATAATTGAGGGATATCGCGGTGGGCGCTGCAGTCAAGGAGAGATTTGCACCCCTGGGGCGGGGGGCCGAGCCGGCCCGCAGGGGGTGGGCGGGAGGGGGGCGTCCGCGGGAGAAGCTTCCTCGGGGAGGCCGCAGTTTTCGATGCTTTTAGGTGGACAGGTTTGCGGGTCTAGGGCGGGGGGCAGAGCCAGCTAGGCGGGGAGGCGGGAAGGGATCCCGAGGGTGGGGTGCCTGGGGATTGGACCGAGGAGGAGAAAGAGGAGGAGGAGGAGGAGGAGGAGGAGGAGGAGGACGAGGAGGAGGACGAGGAGGAGGACGAGAGTTCGCGTGCCCCGCTCAATTTTGCGTCACACGTCAATGTCCGCCCGGCGAGCCGACCCGACTCCCTGGCCCGACTCGCCCGTTAGGGTCCCGCCCGCCCGACCTGACTCGCCTGTGAGAGTCCGTCCGACCCGAGCCGACCCGCTCGTGAGGGCTCCTGCGTGCAACCACGAAAACGCGTAATGCTTTTACGTGCCGCCCGCCCGACCTCTCTCTCTCCTCGAGGCCGTGACGGGGAACCCTGCAGGAGCTCCGGAGGAGGGCCCAGGAACATCTTTTCCCAGACCCGGTGGAGCGCACGTATCCAGGGTTCGCCCCCGCGTTCCTGGGATTCGGCCCGGCGTTTCCCATTTTGCGGCCTTCCAGGATTCGAACCTGAATCTCCGGCATGCGCCCCCCGACCCAGAACCCAGGAAAGACCTTGTGCCCCTATACGTAGTCAGCTTGCCTCTTCACCTTATCTGTGGTCCGCTCCCAAAGGGGTATCAGGGTCCCTGAGTTAGGCGACGCAAGAAGGGGGGGGCGTCTTCACCGACTTTTTCGCGTAATTCTTCCGCGGAAGGTCGTGCGTAAGCGCTCTCGTTTCCATTGTAGCGTGCCGCGCTGGCGGCCCGCGTAAGCCGCCGCGCAACGTCGCGATGCTATCTCGCGTGAGACCCCTTTCTCTCCATCGCTCACTTGCTGGTCATTGATTCCTAGATCCCCGATGTCATGATTTTTTCATGGCGCGACCCCCAGAGGTCTGGACCCATTCCCTGGGACCGGCTTTTCGTCCCCGGTCGTTTTTTGTCGGTCCCGCGCGGCCCGCAAGGGCCCCCGGAGGCCGAAACCAGCGAAGAACCTCCCGTCGTGATTTTCTCATGACTCGAGGGGGGGCTCTGTCTTCGAGCGCAAGGAGTGCCGTGACCATGAACTGCCGGACCTCCGCGCGGCTTCCCGGGATCGGGCGCTGGAGCCCCCCCCGCGGGCAAGGGCGGCGCGCCCTCGGCGCCGCCCCTTGGTGCGCTCCGCGCCCCCAGCGAAGGGGGGCCCCAGCGCCGATCCCAAGAGATCCGCGCAGACCTCCTCCTCCTCCTCCTCCTCCTCCTCCTCCTCCTCCTCCTTCCTCCTCCTCCTCCTCCTCCTCCTCCTCCTCCTCCTCCTCCTCCTCCTCCTCACACTCCTCCTCCTCCTCCTCTCCTCTCCTCCTCCTCCTCCTCCTCCTCCTCCTCACACTCCTCCTCCTCCTCCTCCCTCCTCCTCCTCCTCCTCCTCCTCCTCCTCCTCCTCCTCCTCCTCCGCCGGGAGATCCGCGCAGACCTCCGGCGCACTGCGTTCCTGCCACGCTTCCCTCCCGTGGTGCTATACGCCCAGGCGTGCTCGCGTCGTCGAAACTTCGGGGCGGAGGCTTTCCGTCGTTTTCGGCCTCTGGAGGTCCCCAACGGGCCCAACGACTCGGGGCGAAGAACCGGCCCCGGGAAAGGGTCGGGACTTCCCGGGACGCCGTCCTGAAAAAATCAGGACGCCTCTCATGTCTGGGAGAGGGCCGATTTCCCCGAACGGTGCGTGCACTTGCGGGTTCTCACCTCTTCTCTAAGTGACCGCGCTGGTGTGCCGTTCTGGTGGCTATCTGCAGCTTCCGTCGCCGCCCCGTCGCCGCCTCGTCGCCGCCCGTCGTCTGAGCCTGTCTGCCGGTCTGCCGGTCTGGGGCTGCTCCGGGAAAGTCCATGTTTCGGAGGCTGCCAGAAGGGTTCGTTGGACAAGGTTGGTTTCGGTGGACTCGAGGTCCACACCTGAGGCGCCCCAGCGGCCGTCGAAAGCACCCTTCTTGAGCCAGACCTTCTCGCCGTCCTCGAATGTTTATGCATGCTTTTCTTTCTGCAGTTGCACCGAACTGGCGATCAGTCCTCTGAGTGGCAATCAAGCGAGCCTCGGAACCTCTGAGATCATGGAGTGCCGTGAACGCCCTCACCGAGACGGCACACGACTAGCCTTGTTTTGGTTTGGGGTCGATGCCGCGAGAAAACAAGCGCAGGACAAGCGCAGAGTGTAGCAGGCAGGTGCTGCAGGCGCATCGAGCGGGCAGAGAGGTGGGGCCTTGGCCGCTCGGGCTCGAGGGAGTTCCCGCTCTCGCTGGCGCGAGGGCGATTGCACATAACCTCTGCGCTCCTATATGCGCACGTGCGTACTTCGGGTTGGGACCAACATGTGTTCGATGCCTCGGCTCTTATTTGCCTGCGTTGCGGGTGCGTCTGCTCTGCACGTCATGGACGAGCCGTCCACGACGACGGTCGTCCAGGACGAGCGACGAGTTTTGCTGCTCGGCTGTTCGCTGGACCGGAATGCGCTTATGGAGTTCTGCGACGGCCATGGCGAGCAAACCGATTATCCAGTGGAGTCCGCTTGGTGTATCAACGAAGACCTCCACCTTAAAATGGGCTACATATACCACCCTGGTGTTGGGGCCAATGGTGACCTTCATAAACCGACCGCACTCGCGAAGGGTCCGTCGACCGGCGCAATCTTGAAAACATATGCGAACGCGACGTCCTTCTATATGCTCAACGGGAACCCCCACCTGGTCGTGGTGGATAGCTCGTTGTGGGACCTATTGGTGTGGAGGCTTGGCACCCTCGGTGACCGACACGGGATGTCAGCCTCTGAAGCAAAGGTTCCTCCACCGAAGAAGGTGACCCAGGAGCGCGTGCAGCAGTGGTGCTCGCACGACCTGCCTGGCTTGCTGCAGAGAGTGTCTGAGATCTTTCCGACAAGCCGCATCGCCTTCCGGACTGCCCCGACGATCGATCACACGCCCACGCACGAAAAGTTTGAGAAGCGCGACATCGCATTGCTTTACAAGTGCATCAGCTCGTCCACGACCAATGGGATGCTGTTTGGCAAGTACGAGGTCATCGATTACCATGCGATCATGGCCAAGCTAATCAAGCGCAAGGTGCCCAATTTATACAGAATTGACGGCTACCACCCGAGCGAGTACCCCTCGAGACTCTACGTCAACGAGATTCTCCGGCGCGTTGGCATGAATCCGCAGGACCCTCCAGAACCGACGCTCGAGGACGAGAGTACAGCACGCAAGGCGAGGTTCGAGAAGGCAGGCCAAGGCGATGCCAATGACTTGGAGGACCTGACAGACTTGATGTGAGGCGCGCTGCTTCGCCAGACAGCAGGGCCGTAGAGTGGGGGGTGGAGCAGGAGGAGGAGGAGGAGGAGGAGGAGGAGGAGGAGGAGGTACAAAAGGAGGAGGAGGACGAGGAGCAGGAGGAGAAGGGCGTGCTGAGCGTGCTGACGACAAGGGACAGAGACCTGCCCCCTCTCCTCGGAGAAGCGGCCTGCCTATGCAGGCTCCTCTGAAAAACTTTCCAACAACATTGGGTCACCCCTCTCCTCCAAAGTCCGAGCGAACTCCAAAACGGAAGAGGGGGACACGAAGCCGTGCAATTAGGCGACCAACCGATTGTCGAGGATCGGCACATTGGTGCCGTACTTGACCACACTGGTCACAGAAGCACTTGACTGAGACTCTCCGCCTCCTGCCTCCTGCCACCCCGCGCCTCCAGCGAGGGAGGGGAAGCGGCCCGTCCAGGCTTCGACGTCGCCACCTGATGGGCCGCGGACGTCCACGATCCTCGCCTTCAGGCGACCTGGCATCAGACCTCGACGGAGGAGCGAACGCTGCGTCCTCAGACCTGGCGCATCCCTCCCACGGCACACCCCGTCCAGCCCCTCACCCGACCGAACTAACTTGTGCACCGAGGACCCGCAGACCTTGCAAGACAAAACGTCGGGCCCTGGGGCCGCTCCTTTATCCAGGGGCACCACCGACGCTACGACAACGGAATGTGAGTTGAGCGCCCAGGGCAGCCCTGCACAGTCCTGGAGATGTGGTCCCTCGGCTGTGGCGGCAGCAGCAGGAGGGGCCAGAGGAGGGGGCGGCGGCGAGGGAGGCGGCGGGAGCGAGGGAGACGCGAGAGCGCCCCCCCCCCCCGCAGGGACCGCCCCTGCCTGGGGCTCCCTCGAAGGGCTGAACGCCCTCCTCCTCGGCCGCCTCGGCCAGCTCTCCCCAGACGTCGGAATTCAGCTTGGAGCGAAAAGCTCGAGGTCCCAACAACCCCCTCGACGAACAGCTGATGGGCCCTCGCATGCCATCTTGCCACACCGTGGGCCATGGCCTCGACCCCTTGTACAGAGGCGGCCTGCTGAGGGGGGACCGACCACCTTAAAGCACTTTTTTCGCCCAGCGGTCAGCCATCTGATTGCCAAGGATTCGCCAGCCATCCTCGAAACTGGTGGCGGACAAGCGAGAGCGATGAGACTTCACTGTCACAACTGACGCATGGTGGCCGATCCCCTCCCACCAGCGGACCCAGAAGTGCCCTCTACTGTTCATGGGGTCGAGAGCCACGCCTGGATTCGTTGCGCACTCTATGGAGGCAGCACAGTCCGAAAACACAGTAAGTGGGTCCTCGGGGTTCCACTCCGAATATTCAGCAAGGACCTGAAAAGCATTGTCCTCACCATCACGCGCGGTTTGATTAGGCGCATAGCTGAGTGGGACCACCCCGAACGCTCCTGCAACAAGACTGCCACTGTCGTCAATCTGAATGACAGACCAGCCAGCCCTAGAGAGACCAGAGAAGCGGGAGTACAAGGCACTCCCGTCCACGAAAAGTTTGCCCGAGAAATTCCAGCCTTCAGGACCCTGAATCCAGATGAGCTGGTCTTCAGCCTGGCCTCGGGAATCGGGAAACACCGAGCTGGGGACGGAAAGGGACACCCGACGAACATGTCCACAAACTCTGGAGGCAGGGATCTCACCCTTTCAGTGGCTTGCCGCACGTGTGGCTCGTCGCGTCGGTGCACCTCAATGCAGGGGCACTCGTATAAACCCGATGGAAGAGCGTGCCGGGCCCTCCACAGACAAGACATCTCCCATGCTGGGCCTTACCGTGCCTGTGGAGCCTGTCCTGGGGCCAATGCGACCCTCCCACCAGACTCCTCGAAGCGTTCTTGTGATGCTTGGTCCAAGTCTCGGAGTCGTTTCTGGAGAGCAGGTGACAAAGAGGGCCCCAATGAAGAGCCCCCCGCCACCCTCCTTCGAACTTGCCTAGAGCGAGCACCTCCGAGGCGATCACTGCAGCCTCGCGCACTCTGTCGGCGAGAAAGCCAGGCGTGAATTCGAGCATCGCATACCCCATACCCGGAGAGAGAATGGAGAACGCCGTCGGCATCACGATACCTACACGAGCCACGCAAGGCAACACAACTTGCCTGGGGTCAACGCAATGAGCCCAGGGCCTCGCTTTGCCTGGTAGGTCCCTGCCCGCCTGCCACGCCACCTGCACGTGGCCGCGCCCAGGCAATTCAGATAGGGCCGAGGGAGACCAGTGCTTAGCCACCTCGGCAGGAGGAGGAGGAGGAGGAGGAGGAGGAAGAGGAGGAGGAGGAGGAGGAGGAGGCGGAGGAGGAGGAGGAGGAGGAGGCGGAGGAGGAGGAGGAGGAGGAGGCGTGTGCTCGGTCTCGGCGTAGAGCGCTGGGAACCCCGCGCTCCGAGCAGAGCGCAGGGCCTCCGCTCTTCCTCGCCGCGGGGCACGCGGCGCCGGTGACCTCGGTGCTGGAGGACCGTATCGTGTCAAAAGGCAGAGGCCGTCAGTGGCAGCGTGAGGGGGGCGGGCTCAGGGGGGGATACATCGGCCCCCCGTCGCCCGTTGATCGCCCAGAGGGGCCTCGTGGCCCGCCCCGCCCAGGAGCGTGCGGTCGGTCGCGGTGTCGGGGGCCTACCGCCGATCTGTCGGCGATGTCTCGCCGCTTCCAGGTCGGTGCGTCTCTCCCGCTGAGCGGGGTCGCCGCCTCCCCCAATCCTCCCCCTTGATGGAAGGGGGGCAGGTTCGATGCTTCACATCCGACCCCGAACCCCGGACCCTCGACGTCATGATCTTTCCATGACGTATCCTTTAGAGGTCTGGACCTTTTCCAGGGGGCCGGCTTGTCATGCTGAGTCGTGTGTCGACGGTCCCGAGGCCGAACAAAACAAGTTGGTTGCCGTGATTTTTTAGGACGCGACGGGGTTTGGGACCAAACCTCTGGGCCACATTTGGAGGTCGCCGCGGCGATCGTGGCTGCCACTGATGGGGGTAAGGGGTCTGTCAAGGATGGGCATGGCCACCAGGGGTCTCGCGGGCGGTCGTTCGAAGGCTGTGCTTTTTTGTTTCTTTCGGCCGCCATCGCGGTCTGCCAGAAGCCTCACAACGCAGGCCGTCCAAAGTTCTGTTGTTTCTCTCGGGCTCTTCGGCCTCAAAAGGCTGAGCCTATCTCCGAATCTCAAGCCGACATGGTCGCGCGGGAACTCCCCACACAGTGTTTCCGTCGGCAGCTAGGCGAGACGATCCGCTCCAGCGTGGCAGCGCTGCAGGGGCACTGCATAGCGAATCTTGACGCTTCGCGTATCCCCACCAGGGCAGCTGGTAAGCGGCAGCACAGCTTTCCCAGAGCGCCATCTTCTTACACTTCACTCTGGTACGCCAGGGTACCAAGGATAGGCATGGCTTTGTGTATGCTAGTCACGTTAGATGCTCCCTGGTACGCGTTCCTGCTCTTATCTTTGGTTGCTAGTCGCCTGCGACTTGTGCCTGGTAGAAGATTGGGGCAGTTGTACCTTCTGCATAGCGTCACATCATGTTACCTGATGGCTCGCTTGCGAACGCATCTCTGTTCGAGGTTGTCTTCCCGGGCCTGACGTGCCTTGTACGGTTACAGACACCACGAATTTCGCGCCATTTTGGCTGCGTTGGTGCGTACTCTGAAGCTGCGACGGTCCGCTGGCGCTGTCAGAGTCCAACCTCTCCCTACGGTATGCAGTCAGGCGACAGCTTGCGCGTCTCTCGGACGCTTCTGCTTGAGCATGGTTCAGACACCCTGGGACCCTATGGTACGCCATTCGCTGCGCCGAGGTTTGCAGACTCCCTACTGTTCAGATATTGCACCCAAGCGGCGTACTGCTTGGCCATGGCCTCAGACACCTTGGGGTTATTTGCATCGCGCCACTTTGGCAGCGTAGTTACAGACTCCCTGGGTGCAGGTCCCTGGGCGTCAGACACCCTGGGTTGCAGCACCCTTGCACCCGCCGCCCCGGCGCCGGCCGCGGCCCGCGCGCGCGTCCGGCCAATTAGTTTCGGCCGCAGCCCGACCGTTACTCGCCGCCGCTGGAGCTTCCGCCCGCGGCTGTTATTAAAAAATACCCCACCAGTCCGCAGCCTGGCTCAAGCCGCTTTGGCTCGAGGTGCCGAGCCGGCTTGCCCGGCCGCGGCCGGGGGCTTGCCCCTGGCCCTCGGCCCCCCCTCCTGCGGGAGCGCGGACGGGGCCTCCCCTCAGCGCTCCCGCCGCGCCCCGCTATGGTGTCCACCCGCTGCCCTGCCGCCGCCGCCGCGCCCTCGCTGGCCAGGCGGCTCGCCGGCGTCGGCAGCGGCGTGCGGCCGCCGCCCGCCTCGCCGGCGCCGCCCCGGCCCCCGGCCTTCGGCGGCCGCCGGCTGGAGGCCCTGGCGCTGGCGGCGCCGCGGGCGCCACCGCGGCTGCTGGCGCGGCCGCCGCGGCCGCCGCGGCCCGCCGCGGCCGCCTCCGACGCGGCTGCCGCCGCGGCTGCTGCTGCGGCTGGCACCGCCGGCGCTGCCTCCCCCGCGGCCGCCGGCGACGGCGCCGCCGCCGCGGCCGCTGACGCCGCTTCCGCTTGCGCGGCCGCGGCCAAGGCGGCTTCTGCGGCCGCCCTGGCCGCTGGCCCCGCTGCTGCCGCCCGCCGCCGGCGCGGGCGCCGCTGGCGCCGCCAGTGCCGCTGGCGCCGCAGGCGCCGCGGGCGCCGGGCGCGACGCTGGCGCCGCTGCCCGGCGAGGCCGCTGGCGGGCGCCGGCGCCGCCGCCCGCGGGCTCGGCCGGCCCGGCGCCGCCGCCCCTGCGGCCGCCGCGCGGCCGCCGCCGCCGCCGCCGCCGCCGCGGCCGCGGCAGAGGCGGCCGCCGCTGCGGCCGCGGGCCATGCGGCCGGCGCCGCGGCCGCCGTGGCCCGCGCGGCCGCGCTTGGGCCCGCCGCGGCGGCCGCGCCGCAGCAGCAGCAACCGCTGCATGCTGCTGCACCTGCAGGAGCAGCAACAGCCGCGGC